TACACTACCAGTCAAAAGTTTTTGAACAGTAAGATTTTTAATGTTGGGAAAAATTGTTCAAAAGCTCACCAAGGCTGCATTTATTTGATTGAAAACACAGTATAAACAGAAATATTATTACAATTTTAAATAACTGCTTTATATTTTAATATGAATTAAAAATATAATTTATTCCTGTGATCAAAGCTGAATTTTCAGCATCATTACTCCAGTCTTCAGTGTCACATGATCCTTCAGAAATCATTCTAATATGATGATTTACTGCTCAAGAAACATTTCTGATTATTATCAATGTTGAAAACAGTTGTGCGTTGTATTTTTGTGGAAACTGTAGTACAGTTTTAAGGATTATTTGACGAATAAAAAGTTCAAATGAGCAACATTATTTGAAATAGAAATCTTTTGTAACAATATACAAGCATTTACTGTCACTTTTGATCAATTTAATGCATTCCTGGTGAATAAAAGTAGCAATTTCTTTCAAAACAAAAATCTTACTGACTGTCATTTTTAACAGCAGTGTACAGTTTAGTGGTCATTATACAAAATTATATAACCACTCAATTCTGCAATTTGGCCAATCAAAGTATCCAGAGATCAATGTAATAAAAGACCTGTTGTGTTTATTCTAATGTATCTATTGTTTTGTACGACAGCTTTCTCTAAATGCTTCCTTTCTCCCTCAGACTTCAGTCCTACAGGAACTGAGCCGGACTCCTTAATTACAAGCAACATGGTGCCCATGTTTCCTGCTTTCAAAGGTAAGCCATGTTTTACATTCAGCTTATAACATTACAAACATTCAGACTGCAGTGAAAGAATACCTGACAACTGGGATCTGTTTCTTATTTGCACTTTTTGTGATTTATGGTGTAATGTCATGCACAATTTGCATGTTTAACATATTTGCATGTTTGTTCTGGCAATAATTGCATTATGTCTTTATTCTGACTGCCAATACGAATAGTTCCAAAAGATTTGCTGTTTACTTGTATACTTGGAAAGTAAACGGAAAGTTAATGGCATGCTGGAATGAATCTCCAAGTCCAGATTCTACGCACAATTACCTCTGGGGTTGGTTGAACTGTAGATATTATTTGGGATTCAAGCATGAAGTGCTGGGAAACTTGCTTTTTTAGACATTATTACTTATTATATTTGTGTAAAAAAACTCTGTACAGTTTGATTAGATACACAGCCTACACTGTCACTGTCATCATAAAATATTGAACTTTGAATTGAGAATGGGTTCCACATGCCAGTAAGCATGTCACATATTTTTCTCAAAAGGCTGTAATTCTGTATTGCAACTCGTAAAGTCAGAATTAAAAAGTCTGAAAAGGTAAATATTCTCCATTTAAAGCTGCCCTATAATTAGGATCAGCTGATCAAAGCTGAATTGAGGCCAGCCCATATTTATACCAAAATCAAAGAAAAGAGTCCCACAGGAGCGCTTGACCTGCCAAAAAACACCTAGGAATGCTCAACAGAGCATCCAAAGAACTGCAGTTTTCTCAGCGTAATTTCATTCCTCTGTTATCAGAGTGAGACAAAAATGGGCTCGATGAGAATACAGAGACAGAGATGATAGAGATGCTGTTTTGTGTTTATATGGGCCTGGAGACAAACATAAAATTAGCATCTCAGTGATATTTCATAAAGGATATTATATTTTATGTCTATAAAGTGACAATTAACCCAAAAATTAAAATTGTCATCATTTACTCACAGTTTCTTTCTTCTGTTGAACACAAAAGAAGATATTTTAGAGAATGTTGGTAACCAAACAGTTTCTGGTCCCCATTGACTTGCATAACATATTTGTTTTTCTCCCATACAATGGAAGTCAGTGGGGACCAACAACTGTTTGGTCACCAACATTCTTCAAAATTATCTTCTTTTGTGTTCAACAGAAGAAAGAAACTCAGGTCTGGAACAACTTGAGGGTGAGTAAATTATGAAAATTTTCATTTTTGAGTGAATTATCACTTTAAGGCTATTTTAGGTCAGTGTTACTTTAGTATCATTGATATACTATTTTTGTTCACTTTCAGTCGGTCACTCTCGACGTCACGTCGGATGACCGACGAATTGGGATTTTGAATTAGATTTTATTTTTTAGGTTTTCTTCTTTCATTTTAATTTTAATTAAGTTTTAGTCATTTTGTTCTGTTTTTATAATTTTCTTACATTTTTTTATGTCTATGTAGTTTCTTTTAAATGTTTTAGTTATTTAGTTCAAATTATTTTACAGAAATCAGTTAAAAAGGTTTAAGCCAGGTGATCCTCACTAGCCATAATGAAGGCAGACCTGCTGTATTAATAGCCAGTATTGAGTGTTTTACACAATATGCCATTCAGACCTGTGAACCATATTTAACTGATGTTTTGCTTTAATCTCAGAGAATCATCATTGGTAATTGCAACACTTGTGTATGGTAAACACTTTCTTCATTCTGTATTGTGCAAGTATTTAGCTCAAAGTGAAAATTACTCATTTCATTTCCCAAACTAACTCCACCAAATAGCATGCATGTAGAACATTAACTCTCTGCATTCCATTAGAAATCATTCATCTGTGTTTTAGTGCAACTACAGAGTGATAATCTGAAAATGAACATCAGGATGTGTTTGTGGTTTGGACTTTGGGTGCACCAGCATTTCATAACACATTTATCGGTTATCAGTCGATTACACAAGTATATTGTTTATGCATTTATCATAGGAATATTATTCATAAGAAACCTAAACAGCATCGTTCATTAGAATCCTTTTGTGGCTCTTTTGAAACATCTCGTTTGGTTTCAGTCACATGAAAATGCTTAATTTGCACCTTGCTGAAGATAGAACATAGCATGATTATTGAGTGCAGTAATTATGCATAAACGTAATTATGGATAGCACTCTGCATTAACATTGTGATTATGTTTGAATGTTGTTATCACTGTTTTAGATATCATTTGGTGTTATCATATGGTTTCTTTTCACATAAAACTCTTTTATATATGCATATATATATATATATATTAGTGCTGGGCAACGATTAAAAATTTTTATCGCGATTAATCGCATTATGCACAAAATTCAATAATGAATTCAAACGTAGTGTATTGTGCACTTTTTTCATTTAAAAGTACTGCTATATGAACAAAAGTGCAATAACATTTGGTTTGCAAACACTTTAAACAAATAAGTGCTTTTTTACAGCAGTATTCCTTTTACATAGTAGCAGTTAAAATATTTCTTGTAAATCTCGACTTATAACATTAATGTAATCAAATTAAATATAAAACAAGCTATTTGCTATAACTTTTTTCTATAACAAACTATAAAATATTTTCTATAAAAACGTTAATGCCCTGGCAGTGGCAAATAGCTTTGGTTTTATATTTAATTTGATTACATTAATGTTATAAGTCGAGATTTACAAGAAATATTTTAACTGCTACTATGTAAAAGGAATACTGCTGTAAAAAAGCACCTTATTTGTTTAAAGTGAATTTTTGTTCATATAGCAGTACTTTTAAATGAAAAAAGTGCACAATACACTACTT